TAGTTATCGATCACAATTAATAGTGCATAAATATAAGCGGTTGTCAATCAATATACAGCATATAAATTTGAGCTATTTTCAAATCATATGTGCAGTGTTTAAATGTGAGCTATCATCTAATTATATAAACAGCACATAAATATGAGTGTTATCAATAATGTGTTAAGTGCATAAGTTGAGTGATGTGTATAGCGAATAAATATGAGCTGTGAACTCATATGAACAATACATAAATGTGAGCGGTTATCGATCATAATGAACAGCATATAAATATGAGCTGTTGTCAATCAATTATACAGCATATAAATTTGAGCTATTTTAAATCATATGTGTAGCATTTAAATGTGAGCTATTATCTAATTATAAACAGTACATAAATATGAGTTGTTATCAATAATGTATAAAATGCATAAATTTGAGTGATTTGTATAGCGAATAAATGTGAGCTATAAACTCAACTCATATGAACAATGTATAAATGTGAGCGGTTATTGATCATAATGAACAGTGCATACATATGAGCTGTTATCGATCATAATGAATAGCGCATAAATGTGAGTAGTTATCAATCAAATATACAGTGTATAGATTTGAGCTGTTATTAATTTATATATATAGCGCCACTTAAATGTGAGCCGTTATAATGAGTTGTTATATTTTATATGTTATAGTTATAGGGTTTCAAAAATATGCATGTAGGTATCAAACGGTAGCAGGTGATTGGCCACTGCACGGCCAATCACATGTTGCCATTTGATATTCACATGTATATTTTTAATCCTATACAATAATGGTATTATCGTATAGTAGTTATTGATAACTATACTTCTATAATATATTCGTGATTATGTTATCAAATTAAACTATGCAAATATATAATATTTTTTCAATTAAAATTTTTCACATAGATTATTTTAAAGACTGAAAAAAAGATGATAAAACAGTGATAACATAAACTATACAAATATGAGAATTTTTAGTATAGTCATCAATAACATAGCTATACGATGACTATAATATATTGTATATAGACAAATATACACGAACCAAGCGTCACCCAAAAATCAGTTATATTTTAAACTCAATTAATTTAATAGTTCTGATAATTTAATATGCACTATATATTGATTCGTAATATTTACATTGATTTTATTTTAATTAACAATAAATAATGATAATAATTAAGAGTACCTCTTTTTTTTCTGTATAATAGATGTTTTATACTTCACATCATGCAGAAAATACAAAGCACCAAAGATTTTTTATAAAAACAAAAAAACTTGTTCTGAATGTAATGAAAGTAAAAAGTGAAAATACAAAGAAAGTTTTATTCTAAAGAAAATATTATTGATGTCGATGATATTACCGATACAATTTATAAGGCCCTTGCAAATGTAGAGGAAATCAATAAAAACTTCGAAAGTCAAAATTTTATATTTGATATATTATAGGTCAATGACATATCCTTAAAGTTAGCTTGAGATTAAAGGCTAGATAAAATAAAGAATTAGGAAATAATTTTCAGTAATAATAATATTAACGAACTACTTACATATGTAAGGTACTTAAAGTTTTAACAACGAAGTGTTAAAGAGAATAAATCTTAACAATATAACAATAAAATTTGTTTAAGTATTTAAATAGGTTTATTTTACACAGCTGAGTTGATTTAATTATAAGTTCAAAAGCCTGAAATCTAATTTTGTTTTAATATTTTCGAATACAAACTAAAAGCTATCATTTCGCTTATTGTTTTTTGTACATTTTTTTATATGCTATACTTATTAACCACATGCAAAATATTTTGATTCATTAACATGCAACATTCTTTTCAGAGGCTTCACCAGAGTTTTTCCAGTTTCATCTTTTACCGGTTTACAAAGATAAAAACTCTATTAGGTTATTTTTTATCTATTTGAATTTACAAAAAAAGACAAAAAGTTTATTTATTTATTATGGATTGCAAAATTCATATTTATATTAAAACTAAAAATCATATATATTTAAAATCTAACTTTTAAAAGATATAGTTTTAATGAATTTGAAATTTTATTTTTAGTCTATAAAATTGTAAAAGTGTCTATACTAATTTGGTAAGATACTTTATAAGCTTAAATCATTATTTTTCTAGACTTCATTGATTTTATTTTCACTCTCGTTAATCTCATCAAGTGGATTAATTATATTTCCATATACCATACTCTTGTTTATTGTTTCTTTAGCTTTATCATATTCACAGCCCAAGTTATCTATTATGAGATGGACAGCAGTTTCCAGGATCATAACTTCAAAAAAGTATTTAACTGGAGTTTGTGGAGCACAAGATACCTTGGTCATAATTTTGGTGTTCACATAAATTTTTTGCAAAGTTTCAGCAATAATACTCTGACCTTTTGGTCCATAATAACCAGGCTACAAATATTATTATTAAAATAAGTATTCTATAACTTTTCATTATATCTATAGATACTCTGATTTTAAGTGCCGCATATAATTTTATACTTACAAACTAAAAAACATAATGAGATATTTAATTAATTGCTAATTTTAGCATAATATTTTGATTAATTTTCTTTATCAATACTTACTCACTAAATTCAAGCATATTGTTACTATTAATATTTTTTATTTTAATATAAGTTATTTTCAAGAAAGTTTTCATAATAAAAAATATAAGCTAACAACCAAAACTATAATTTATGAATCAAAATTTAATTTGTCGACATGATTGCTAATCAAGGAAATTTTGAAAGTACTTTGTTTGAGAATAAGTATAAATTTGGAATCTGTAAGCTTATATTACAGTCTGGGAATATACCAAATTTAGTCATCGATGATCTTACCTTATTTGGTAAATGATCATCAGTCGGATGATTCTAGATTTCATAGCACATGAACATGAA